TCCTAGTTTGGAATGGTCACTATGGATTTCGAATATGCACTAGGTCGAATGGTCAAAGGGGTGCCCCGGTAAAAACCGGGGTTTGTATTTCCATACTAGCAGAGCCCGCAACCGGTCAGCTTTATGGTCATGCCTTGACAAGGCAAGCCTCTGGCAAACCGTTCAGGAATAGAAGATGGCTAACACGGTGTCCTAGGCGCACCAATGCACATGCAATGAAAAGAAACACATAAGTGTAGTCAAAACAAGATATTATGAGTTCGAGTCAAGTTCTCTATTCTCCCCAACAGAGTTGCCAGAAACTGTAGACGTCCCCCGAACGTCCCGGGGGGGGAATCTCCCGTTTTGTTCGTTTTGGGCTCGCTACAGTTCGGACTCAAATCGTCACGGTTCTTAATCTGAACCAAAGAGTCCAAATCTGACAAATCATTTTGGAAAACAGATTTTTAGAAAGAAGTGCCAAACATGGACTGCTTTGCCAGATATAGAATCGCCACCTAAATATTTTATTTTGGGAGAATTTAGGAAACCCTGACTCGTTTGCCTAAGGCCACGTGTTCGTCATCACCAGAGTTGCCTCGGCTCGGGAACTTGGGTACGATTGGGGAAGGTCAGCTATGAGTACCCCCTCTCGCCCGATCCGAAGATCGGCCTCTACTAACCATGATATCTTGTTTTGAAAACATTATGTGTTCTTATTCTGGTTATTAGCCTAGATTTACTATGTGATGCGCACAGCATACAAGTATAGACTGAATCGCCTGAGTTAGAACAAAACATTTCATGTTTGTTTTTGAAAGCAGTTTGCTACTCGTAAGTAGGCTAAAATGCAGGTTTTGCCACCCTCAAGTGGGCTTTAGAAAAGATGATTTTTGCCACTATCAAGTGGGCTTAAAACTCACGGTTTTAATGCATTATTCCAATTCAGGTAATTCAACCTCCATCCACAGACATTCAAGCAGTTATATCACATAAGCAAATAGCCTCATGGTAATCATGCTATCATGGCAACACTCACATGCATGCAAGGATGCTAAAGCGTAAAAGCTTACCGAGTACTCCAAGCCAAAACAAAAGCTATGTTAGAAATTCATGCATGATCCTAACTATACAGAAATGCCTAATGCAACACATGTAGGAATGTGAATACAATAGGCTCGGCTATTCTAAAATGACATGCGAAATGCTACAACTAACACGTATTCAATTTGGAATTGAAACACAAATGCAGTTAGTATGATGCGTTGAGCCCGGTGCATGCAAGACAAATGTATGAATGCACGCATGCATAACATAAGGTATGCTAATTTAAATATGTCCTAATACTAACCATCGAAAGCTAGTAAATAAAAGGGAAGAAAGAAGTGGGGTTGGAAGACATACACACACTCACACACACTTATTACACAATTGCCCTCGCTCGGAGGGTCCAAATAATATTACATAACCAAATGAATACTGTTAAATTAATTATTACAGAACTTCTAATTAATTAACGAATTAAATATAGAAGGAAGATGGCCGCAGTCCCGCCTCGGAATGCGCGAATGGTGCATGCTTGACTCGTCTTGCCCGGAAACTCGTATCATGCCACTGTTGCCTCTGTTTACATTGCCTTGCTCCTCTGAAAATTTTCACGAGTCCTAAGGATGCTTCTCTGAACACTGAGGAGTATCACCGACCAAGTGGGAACATCACCGGCCAAAGGGAATAGTCACTGACCGTTGGTTTAACTATCGGCTAATTGTATTTGGTCGGTCGGCACAATAAGTAGTTGGTCGGCCAAATGTTCCTGCAGAAATCTGTTTTGACAGCAGCAGAGGACAGACAGTGTATGGTATGAGATTTTCAAGCAAATGTGTGCGTGGCCGCACTCCCTATCATGCAATGGACTCAAGAGAACGTGGCTCTCGACCCTCGGGCCATCAATTATGCATTTTGATGCATGATGGCCTAAGAGGCCAAGCTTGCCATTCAATGTAAAATGCATGCAACAAAAGAGATGAGTGCCTTACACCCTATCATGCTTGAGATCAAGGGCATTGACAACCGAGGAGTGAGATGTGTTTTGTCACTTTGAGTACGAACACACCTCACCCCTCATGCTTTGTTTGACACCCCAAGCCAAGCAATGTAATGCATGTATACAAACATGGCCCAAACGTGCGAAATGACTAAGGCACAAAAAATGCCAAATGCACTGTAACTTATGCATGCAAATGTAATGTATTAAGCATGCGAGATGCAATGCAATGCAACCTATCATGTAATGCAAACATGGTATATTGCAAGCATGCAACTAGAGGCAATAAATCAAACATACTACTATACACAAGGATGGACTTAGACTGAAATGGGAGGCCTCAGCCACACCCCAAAACAGTGGCCAAAAGAGCCAAAAATGGCACAAATTATGCATGCAAGCATGCACACACCAAGGCCTATCACCTAAGCATGGGAGTGGGAGCCCTCAAGGACACTTAAGGGTGACAAACAAAGACATCAAACACTCATGTTAAACTCTGAAAAACAATGAAGGATGATGCCGAAATATGCTAGGAAATGGATGTAAAAAAAAAAAATGAGCATTCAAGGCCTCAAATGAGGGCATTACTCAACACCTAACCCAAGCAAATAAGGCATGGATTTTTCAATGCAAAACAGAGTTTTAGCATGCAAAAAGGACCCCTAAAACCCAATGTCATGGCAACCCAAAGCCTCAAACACATAAGCATGCACAATGCTCATTTTAAGGCTCAACAAGACAACTCTTCGAGGCATGAAAGGGATGATGAATGCAATCATGCAAGCATGGATTAGGGACTGAGACGGCATGTAAAATGACCCCAAATCATTGAAACAACCCAACTAAAGCATGCTCATAACTCACACCCTCAAGGCACACAAGCCAAAATGCAAAGAGACTATACCAAACATGGCAAATATGATCAAAACAGCACCCCACAGACCTCAAGCATGGCAAGACATGGCAAAGAACTTCACAAAGTTAGGCCAAAATATGAGAGCATGGTAGGCTAGATGCAAGATACACTTCTAGGTAAAATGGGGGAATACAAGGCAAGTATATTAGGCATGAAAGGGGCCATTAATCCGACCAAAAACAGAGGCATATTGTGACCTAACAACATTCAAAAACCTCTGAAATGGTACCAAAGACAACTACTCATGCATGCTACCATTAAGAGCCAAAAATACAAAAAAAGAAAAAGAAAAAGAGAGACAAAGGGAGAGGGGTGTCTCTCCCCAATGCAAGACCTCAAAACCCCTTTCTTCACCACTGAAAATTCACTGGATTTCAGTGGTGAGAAGGCCAATACACAAGAGATTCCAAAACTTAACAAAGAGAGTACAAAAAGTGCCAAACAAGGCCTAAGAGGGGGAGATCGACCCCAAACAACAAAATGACCTTAATGAAGTATCTTAAGCATGCAAATACAAGACTTTTTTCAGTTATACACGAAGCTCAAATCAGTATGAAAAGCAGGTCAAAAGCTAGTGCAAGATTGGAGAATCTAAAGTAAAAGTGTTACCCTTGAAGAACACCTCAAGAATAGCAAGTTCGGCCACCTTCTTCTGATCAAAACCAGCTCAAAACCTCAAGAATAAACCCTCAACACCTCGCAAAGTCGAAGCATGGTGTAATGGTGTGTGTCTTAGTGCAAAAGTAAGAACAAATCACCCTTTTAGGCCCTCAAACACACACAAATGAAGAGAGATAGGGAGATATAGAGAGAGAAGATGTATGTATCAGAATATATATGTTCTAGGTCTGATTTTGTTGAACCCAAAACAAATGAGAGGGTTTGTCTCCTTATATAGACCATCAAAGATGCTAAGCTTCCAAGAGAAGCTAATTAAAAGGATCAAGGCTTCTTCAAGAAGCCAAGGCAAAGGGGCCAAGGCTTCCTGAGGAAGCTGAGGCAAGGTCCAAGCTTCTTGAGGAAGCTAAGACAAAGGTCCAAACTTCCTTAAGAAGCTACACCAAAAGGGTGCAAAAGGGACAAAACAGCCACAGATGTGCACGGGGGCAGGGTTTGTGTATTCCAGCTGGCACAGCTGGCATGCATCACCCCTGAAAAAGGCAAAAAGGTGGTACCGGCCAGAAAAGGAGTACATCGACCAAACAGGTGGTCGGCCGGCCACACAAAATGCCGACCGGCCAATGGACTATTTCACCAATGGTCGGTAGCCTCAAAACACGGCCTGTAGCTTCAAGCCATGGCCGGTGGGCATTAGGGGTAGCTAGCAAGCTACTCTCTACCCTCAGGTGCAAAAATAAACAAGTCTTTGGTGTAAAACCAAGCACAGAACAAGCAAGTCGAGAGATCTTGAGGCAAGGCGCGTAGCCAAGACCTTCGGGAACTCAAAACAAACACGAGCATGGATGATCACCGAGTGTTCAAGCGGTGACGTCCAAGTCTTGAGGAGGGTCAAAAATAGGGTGTCTACAATTAGTTTATAATATGACAAGACTACATGGTCGACGTAATTAATCCTGTGTTGTGTGCATTGTAGGGTTCAAGAATTTTGATATGTGGAATGGTGAATGTACCAATCTGTATCGAAATAATGATGATGACATAATCGAACAAGTAGAAGAACAAGAGGACCAATAGAACGATGTAATCGTTGAAGCAGCGTGACATGCAATAGAATATTACGTGATGTATATATAGAAGATCCCATGTCGAACTTCAATTTTAACCGGCCGTGCATGGATTCAAGAATTATTTGATGGACACTTGGGTAGGGGCAAAGAAAATTTGCATATGCCTTTGTATGTGTTTAAAGCATTATGTGATACATTACGACGGGATTTTGGTTTACGGGGTACCTAAAAGACCCCATGGATTACACATTGAAGAAAGTGTTACTACGTTCATTCATACCTTGGCCGGCTACCAAAACCGAGCATTCAAGAGTGGTTTCAGCACTTGGGAGAAACGGTTTCTCGACATTTTCATGCAATGTTGGATGCAATGAAATTGTTCATTGAACAGCATTGCAAGCCAACTAGAGATCAAAATAGTAGGCATCCCTACTTGCGGTCAAGAGGCAAATACATACCGTTCAAGGTGAGAATTCAGTAATTTCCGTTAAGAACACTTGTGTAGAATGCAGTGTCCAATTAAATAGTTGTGATGTGTTCTATTATGGCAGAATTGTATAGGTGCGTTGGATAGAACTCACGTAGAAGCCGTGTTGCTTGCCCATGATGCGGGCACATATTATGGTCGAAAAGGTTATCCAACCCAAAATATACTAGCAGTCTGTGATTTTGACATGTGCTTCATTTTTATTTCTTGTGGCTAGAATGGAAGCATGCATGACAGCCGCATCTTTAAGGAAATAATTGAAAATCAACGCGCATCGTTTCCGCACCCACCAGAAGGTAACGAATTTCAGATTCAGCACTAGTGCGGGTTTATGTCACGTGTATATAATTGTTTTATTTTATTTTATTTTATTTAACTATAGGTAAATATTACCTTGTGGATGTGAGATATCCAAACAAGAAGGGTTACCTGGCACCATTCAAAGGGTCTCGGTATCATCAAGCACTATTTCGGGAATATGGACGACCCGATAACCCGAGAGAAATGTTTAACGAAGCGCATGTGTCATTGAGGAGTGTGGTGGAAAGGACTTTTGGAGTGTGGAAATCTCGGTGGAAGTTCTTGCACAACATGCCGGACTATGATTTTGCGACGGTGCAAGTGCCATTGGTTGGTGCATCAATGGCGTTACACAGTTTCATTCGTAGACACGAGTTAGCTGCCTTGGGCAATGACAGACATTATGTTGTTTCATCAGTGCTAGATGGCATGCCCGACGTTCACGGTGGCAGAGAAAATCTCGATGATGGGCTCATTGTTGGGGATACAAATGTGGATATGGCAAGAGTTCACGTTCGCATACGCAACCATTTGTTTTATATACGCAATTTGGGACTATTGTGAATATGCACTTTCTGATGTGAAAATTTGTTGTGGAATGTGACCCACGTAGCAAGTCATTGTACTTATGAAACTATTTGTAATGCATAATATTCGAACTGCACCTTCCTAAACATTTGTAATGTACTTTATAAATTTTATTTGTCTAGATTGACCTTTAGTTTAGTTCAATTTTGCACGTATTGGATGCCTTTGATATTTGACTCCCAGTCCAATTTCATAACAAAGAATAGCATTCCTTTTTAGTTGTAGTTCATCATTTTTTTTGGTAATTTTTTCAATTTTTGACAAATTTAATAATTTTATAAGCTGGTTTTTTTTATTTATTTATAGAAAAAAATAAAAATTCATATTTAATTTTTAACAAATTTGAACAAAATGTTTGAAATTTTTTGTAAACATCAACTAAAGAAAAGAGTTCGCGTTCAAGCCAAAAATATATTTGAATTTAATTTTTATTATTTATGACAGTAGGACCATACACATTATAGTTGAAATACAAATAATTGGAAAAAAATTACTTGAAAAAAAAATTTGAAAACAAAATAGCTGGAAAAAAGAATTACTTGAAAACAAATTATTGGAAAAAAAATTCAAACAAATTTAATGGACACAAAATTTATTTGAAAAAAAAAGTAATTAAAAAAATTTTTATTTGAAAAAAAAAATTTAATTGACAACAAAATAATTGAAGAAAAATACGTATTTGAAAAAAAAAATTCATTATAAACTGATGATTATTAATAATTTATAACTTTAAAAAAAAATTATAAATTATATTAATGGGTCGGTTTAACAAATGGTTGAAGGTTTGTTCATATATGTAATTAATTGTGTATAAGTTTTACATTTTTTTTTTTGTTTGTACATGTTAAAAATTACAATTCAATTAAAATAAATGACAATCCTTTTTATTTTTTTGTTACCCAGGTTTGTTTATTTTTTTTTTCAATTAAATGACAATGGCTGAAGGTTTGTTTATTTTTTTTTCAATTAAGATTACAATCCTTTTTATTCAATTACAATTCAACTTCGAAAAAAAAAGGTTGACGTGCAGACCGTACGTCCCACGTAAGCCAACGCCGGTTTGGAGTTCAACGGCTGGCAGCTTGGTTATGTAAGGGCAGTTTGATTATTTAATAGCAAAGCATCATATCAAACATTTTTTTTAATATAATCATTTAAAAATATTTTAAGCCATCTTCTTAAATATACAAATTAAAATAGTTTATTAAAATAGTGATATAGTCAAAAAATCTAAAAAATAATTACTTTCCAAACGAAGTCAACAACTATTAATGTAATTTATCCAAAATTTATTCAACAATATTAATGTGTAATTGAAATTTATTCTAAGGCCTCATTAATCAATAGGCGAAAAAAATCAAAAACTTATTACAAATTGTTAAAACACTCATTTTTGACACATTTTTGTTTATTAAAAAAATTAAATAAATCAATTAAAAAAATTAATTCCAAAATGAGTCATAAATATAGATCCCCAATAAAATCTCAATCTCACATTTGCTTTCATATTAACCATAATTCTGAGAGAGTACTGCCTCATGAATATTCAACATGTAGGCCTATTTTGAAAAAATTGATAAAAAGTAGTTTTTTTTGGCTTTTAATCAAGTTTTTAACTTTTTTAGACAAATAATTTGAAAAGTTAGTAAAAAGTTACTTTGGTTTTTTTATTAATATTTGTTTATGATGTCAAATCATAATAAAATGACTAAACTACTCTCATTTAGTTTAAAATATTTACAATTTCACCCATATAACACATTTTGACCCATGAGGGGTAGAATTGTAATTTCACCACTGGCCAAAAACCAACTCCTCAATTGAAAAAAATTCAAAAAAGCCAACTTTTAACTTTTGCTACATACTAAAAAAATTGACTGCCAACTTCCCAAAACAAGCCATAATGATATAAGTGGGGATTCTATATTGGGTAAATAGCATTGACACCCTCTTTATATTTTTTAACTTACATTGGTTCCCCATTTTATTTCCTGAAATATCACTACTGTTCCCATTTTAAATTGTAAACCATGTATGACAATTAGTTAAAATAGTAAAAAAGTTAAAATAAATACAAAAAATTAATTTATTCTTTTTAGGATAAATTACACTGGTGGTCCTTATATTTTGCTTCTTATGTCATCTTGGTCTACACACTTTCAATTGGTTCAAATTTAACCCTTAATTTTAAATTTTGTGTCCATTTAGTCCAATTAATAATACTGATAGTGTTTTTGATGGAAAATTATCACTGGATTGGTTAAGATTAACTCATTGAGTTCAGTAAATTTATAATTTTATTTTTAAAAATATGACACATGCCACTTATATACATATTTTTCATACAAATTACCAAGAGTAATTAGACCAAATTAAGACAATGTCATAAATTTATGGTCAAAATCGAGCCAATTGAAATTGTATGGACTAAAATGACACAAAGATCACAGTATAGGGACTACCATCGTAATTTATCTTCTTTTTTTTTTTTAATTTTTACACGTGTTTTTCTAAAAAATCAAAAAATCACTAAAAATAAAATACTATTTTCCAAACGAATCCTTAGTATGACAAAACAAAAATGTTAGAGATATCAAATTTTATATCAAACACTCATTTTGGTAGAAAATTTTATATATCTAACATTGCTCATAACAAAATCCCCTTGTTAGTCAATCGTAGCATTACTTGTATACAGCCGAGTTGGACCTTATATAATTAAGTGTGTGACCAATTATCATAAAATTAGTCAAAGTAGATTGAACGACATTGTTTGGGCCCATGGGGGCTACTACGGGTCTCGTTTCAATGATTCAAATTGTTTATGTTGTCGGACATTTCGTGTATATTAGCTACCAAAAAAAATTAGGTCGATTCGATAATCGTAGCGTAATTTATCACGTTTGTCACTAGGGAATGGATGGTTTATTTTTAAAAATACAAATGTCGTCTATTTTTTTTTATGACAAACAAGATAAATTAAATATGTTACGATTATTAGATTAACTTAATTTTTTATGTGAATGAACTACATAAAATGCTCAACAAAATAAACAATTCAAATTATTATAACGAGATTTGTGATGAGCCTCACTAACCAAAACAATCTCATTCAATTGAGATTTTGAATGGAAAGGAATCTCCTCCTCCTACCATTTTACATCAAAGCTAAATTAAAGGATAAATCACGAATAGTCTCTAAAGTTTAACACTTTTTTGGTTTATGTCCTTAAAATTTTAATTTTATCAATTAAGTTTTTAAAATATTAAATTCGAATCAATTTAGTTTTAAAGACAATATAAAAATAAAATAAACCCAAAGGTTATATAAAATTATTATAAGACCCAAATTTTAATTTATTGTTAACCTAATTATCTTTTGTGTGTGTGTTTTAGAATTGATATTGTAGTTTAGTTTATCAATTTTGCCAATATTAATGTATGAGCATCAGATATACTAACGAAGTTGAATAAGGTAATTTAAATAATAATACTGCACTATAAAATAATTATTGAACAAAATAATATTATAATTAGGTTATTAGAAGAAATTAACGAAAATCGTAAGGAAAAATCAATTAGAAATTATGCATAAAATTCAGCATATTAGATAAAGATAAGTAGTTAGCTCTCGTAGAAAATGATACAGATATTATTCTTATCTTTACACGAGAACCCTCCAAGGAATCTTTTGAATTAATATCACTAGAAAATAAAAAAAAAATGAATTTAAGTAATTATAGCGTAGATGAATTATAAATAATGGCGGGACAAAAAAAATATAATGAAATAAAATATAAAATAATATTAAAAATAGTCAAAAAATTAGATAAAACAGATAATTGCCTATTAGAAGAAATAAATAATAATAGAATATAAGTAGAGGAATACCTATATAAGCAATTAGAATTAATCAGTCTAAAAGAAATGAATTAATTATAAAAACACATGTGCAGAGAATAATTAATTAACAATATATTAAAATGTAGGTGTGATCACAATTTTATATAGAATAATGTTTGGGACTCCATTTTTTGGGGGTTTTAGGACCTCCAATTTGATCTTAACCTTTGATGTGTATGTGGGGTCTATTCATGTATATGTTGACCTCACATTATGAGGGGTTGGGATGAGAGTGGCGGGTGTGGAGGTCATGTATGTGTGAGGGTCTCTATCACAATTGTTTTATATAATATTTAGGCTTGTATTCTATTTTTATATTATCTTTAAAATTAAATTAATTCAAATTTAATAATTTAAAAAATTTAATTGACAAAATTAAAATTTTAAGAGTTTAAATGAAAAATGTGTTAGAACTATTATTATAATTTATCCAAAATTAAATCTACTTTTTTAAGCAATTCAGACATTTTAAATAAATAAATAAAAAGGAAAAAAAAAAAAACTCATTTTACCCACTTTCAAAAAGGGGCTTCCTTTCCCAACCCCCAAACGCAAACAAATGCTAGTACTAAAAATCTCACAAAAATATCAGGTAAAAATTTAGCAAGAAACAGACTGAGCAAGACTAGTAACACCAATGGAAGCTCTGAGATACTTGAGCATTGGCATCTCTAGTTCCCGCTTTCTACCACCACTTCCACCGCCACCACCCCCCAACACCACCACGACCACCACCACTACCAAGAAGCCCCACAAACTCAACGCCGTCAGCGGCGGCCCTAGCAGCCTTCCCAACAACTTCTCCGCCAGCAAATGGGCTGATCGCCTCCTCTCCGACTTCCAATTCCTCCCTTCCACTGCCGCTTCCTCCGACTCTCCGGACTCTCCCTCCGCCGCCGCCACTCTCTTTCCTCCTCTCCCTCCCCATCTGGCCCCTCCCGAGCGCCACGTGTCCATGCCCATCGACTTCTACCGAGTGTTGGGTGCCGAAATGCACTTCCTTGGGGACGGTATCAGGAGAGCCTACGAAGCTAGGGTTTCGAAACCACCTCAGTATGGTTACAGTCAAGACGTCTTGATTGGACGAAGACAGATTCTTCAAGCTGCTTGCGAAACTCTGTCAAACCCTAGGTCCAGAAGAGAGTACAATCAAGGCCTTGCTGAAGATGAATTCGATACCATCCTCACTGATGTCCCCTGGGATAAGGTTGTTCTCTTCTATCCACAATTTATGCATTTCTTTTAGGCTCCGTTTGGATTGGATTGGATTGGATTGATGTGCATTTCAAATAAAGGAATTTGAGTTTTAGTAGTTTTTTTTTATAGTTAGTTAGAGAATTGTTAGCACTATTCCATATAACTAGTTTTATAAGTAAATTGTTGTATCTAAATTTGAGAGTTATTGTGCTTGAATGATTAAGATCAAATCCTTCCAAACGGACCCTTATTGTCTTCCCGCAAAAAACAACTAGAGTATTGGGTAGTCTGTCTTTGTTTGCAATGTAGTGAATTTGGGAGTGAATTTGATGGGTTTATATAGGTTCCTGGAGCTTTGTGTGTGTTACAAGAAGTGGGAGAGACTGAGGTAGTTCTTCAAATTGGAGACAGTTTGTTAAGAGAAAGGTTGCCCAAGTCATTTAAGCAAGATGTTGTCTTGGCTATGGCGCTTGCTTATGTTGACATGTCGAGGGATGCAATGGCATTGTCGCCACCGGATTTTATTAAGGGCTGTGAAGTGCTTGAGCGGGCATTGAAATTGTTGCAGGTGCTCTCTCTCTCTCTCTCTCTCTGTATGTGTGTGTGGGGTTGCATTTCTATTCATGAATGAGTCCTTTTCTGTAGCTGCGCTAGTTTTCATGAATGGGCCTTGCTAACAATCACCCACTGGGCATTGGTTAAGGACCAAATACTATAAAAAAAAGTTAGAATTTCAATATACATTTCACATATTCTCGTGCATTTATATATGTTTTTACACTTTTTGCATATTTCAATATATTTTTTACACATACAACATTCACCACAGCCCAATTCATGAATTGCTGAATTAACAGCCTATAATGCTAAAAAAAGTTCATTTTTTTCTTCTTCTTCTTACCATCTGGTGATACTGTCTTGGACTCCTGTAAATTTAATGCTACTTATGAACTGGTTGAAGTAGCTTCATGGTAAAATGAGATACTATTACTTGATGGTTAAATTAAATGAGATACTGTTACTGGCTTACAGCACCAGAGCCTGGTGATGTGCAGTTCTGTTGTCCACTGATTTTCAAAAGCCGATTGTGCATAATTGGATGTCAATATTCTAAATCTTAACCTTGCCACTAACATCAAATTTAAGTTCATGTATTTTTCTTTTTTTGGATAGCTATGATAGATTTTTCAGTTTTTCTATGATGTACACAGTTTTCTAAACCTCTTAAGCTTGGTGATTTTTGTTTACTTGCTCTTTTAAGTTTTTTTTTTTATTATTTTAGTTTTATTTTTTATTATTTTATTTTGATTGGAAACTTATGAAATTGTGCTATTATAAGGTTGAGTTCTTTTTAATTTGATTTAGTGGGCATTAATTTATGATTGTGAATGAGTGGGATGCCAATACTTGAGACAGGTTCATTGTTTTAAGTTTGTTTGAGTCTATGTTACCTAGAACGTGGATCGTTCCGGTACATGGAACGGGAACGGGAATGTGGTACTCCATATGTTCTAAAATGTGGTACTATAGGAGTAAACTTATATATATTACACTTAAGAATTTAAGGTACTTCAAGAGTAATTTTCTTTTAACTATTAGGTATCCAATAAATATATATATATTTTTTCATGTAGCAAATCATTTCTATGAAAATTATGACCCATTTTTTATTTTTTTGTCTCTTGTCAAAACTTAACTCACTTGAGATTTTAGTTCATATATTTGATTTTTTTTCCTCCTAACATGTAAAGAAATATATTGGAAAAAACTTTTGAGATCGCTTTGGATCACTAAATTTACTATTTTGGAACGAAAGTGTACCCTGTTTTGGAACATGTGTACCATTACGTAAATTGTTAGGGTATTACCGTTTTCTGGTAACATAGGTTTGAACCTCAAAAATATTTCAATCTTTACTTTTGTGTTTTGTAAATGTACTTGTTCATATGATGAGTAATGATGACTTAAGACACATATTTTATTGGTTGTATTACTATTATGGCTTTGATTTTTTAATTATATTAGTAGTACCCTATTGTTGACAGGAGAACTTGTACTGGCTGAATGATAGCAATGGGAATTTTGTGATAAATACAGTAGGTAATGAGTAACTGTTTTTGGAACCAAGTGTGGTACATTAATTGTTTTTTGGTTTCTAGTACTATCATTTGGAGATTCACAAGTTTATATACTGATTCCTGATTCTGTTATGCACTTCTGCTTGCAATTTGGTGATAACTATGATCTTTTTCTCTCTTCTGAAGTGTGCTATAGAAAGATGGAAGAGGTTGGCACTTGGTTTTAACTGTATAAAATTTGAAAATATATATTGGCATTGAGAATCTACTTTCGTGCAGGAGGAAGGCGCAAGAAGTCTTGCTCCAGATTTACAAACACAGATTGACGAGACGTTGGAAGAGATCACCCCACGTTGTGTTCTGGAGCTTCTAGCTTTACCACTTGCTGATAAGTACCAGACAAAAAGGGGAGAGGGTCTTCAAGGTGTACGCAACATTTTGTGGGCTGTTGGAGGTGGGGGCGCAGCTGCCATTGCTGGGGGAGTTACCCGTGAAGATTTCATGAATGAGGCCTTCTTACATATGACAGCAGCAGAGCAGGTGGTTTATCAGATTATCTTGTCAAACGACTCCAAACCAACCATTGTTATGTTTATGCTTCCTGTTAATTTGTATTTACTTATTGCCTAACTGTTGCCTTTTTTTCCCCCCCCACTTTTGTGAAAAGGTTGATCTTTTTGCTGCCACGCCAAGTAATATACCTGCAGAAAGTTTTGAAGTTTATGGTGTGGCACTTGCACTTGTTGCTCAGGCCTTTGTGGGTAAGAAACCTCATCTCATTCGAGATGCTGACAACCTTTTTCAACAACTTCAGCAGACCAAGGTTACAGCTCTTGCAAATCCTGCCCATGTCTATACTGCTAGGGGAGAAATCCATGAGATGGACTTTGCATTGGAGAGGGGTCTCTGTTCACTGCTCATGGGAGAGCTTGATGACTGTCGCTCATGGTTGGGTTTAGACAGTGACAACTCACCTTATAGAGATCCATCTATTGTTAACTTTGTTTTGGAACATTCCAAGGATGACAAGGACAATGATTTCCTTCCTGGACTTTGTAAATTGTTGGAGACATGGTTGATGGAGGTGGTTTTCTTCAGATTCAGAGATACTAAAGATATAACATTCAAGCTCGGAGATTATTATGATGATCCCACAGTCTTGCGATATTTAGAAAGACTGGAGGGAGTTAGTGGGTCACCATTAGCTGCAGCCGCTGCCATAGTAAAAATTGGGGCTGAAGCTACAGCAGTGCTTGATAGTGTGAAGTTTAGTGCAATTCAAGCATTGCAGAAGGTGTTTCCTCTTGGGCAAGGAAATGGGAATGTGAAATGTCAAGAAGATGAAGAGGTTAACAGTTCTGTTACTCCTTTAGAAAGCAAGGAGCCTGGGGTACAACAGGATCAAGATGATTCCACCAACATACTTGATGGTCCTGAAAAAAATAATGCTGATGAAACACAGAAGCAAGAAATGATTACTTCCGAAATAAAAGATGCAAGTATAAAGATTATGTGTGCTGGTGTGGTAGTTGGACTCATTTCTTTGGTTGGCTTAAAGTATTTACCATTTCGGAATGGCTCTTCAATTCTACGCAAAGAAGTTGGTTCAGCAATGGCTTCTGATGTTATCAAAGTAGGTATGATCTAATGATACATCATACATGTTTTTTTTATCGATTTGAAAATCCTTAAGAGCATACTTTGTCATGCTGTTACAGGAGGAAACAATATCATTTAGCTTAAAACTTGTACTGGTTTTCCATTCATTGTATATGGCTATTTAGTCTAAAAGATAAGTATTTGTAGACATGGTTGATTTAGTATAAATTGCAAGTCCAGAGAATCAGTGATATGACAACGGGTAGTGCAGGATGATTCTTTCTGCCTTGTGCTATCTGTCCATTTTGTTCTTTTTCTTCTGTAATTCTACTAGTATCTAATTCCACTTTAGTCTTTTGCTTTCCTTTGTATATTGCAGTTGATTTCTTATTTAGTGGTCTTTTACTTGTATGATTGGCCCTTCCTTTCATTTATATGCTACTTATTTACTTATGATTTGATGAGTAAGAGAAAGTTCATCAAGAGCACTGGAGTGGGTACAACACATGTACATGCTATGTATGTCAAAACAAAAGGTCTTTGCTAAACAACTGTTGTCTGCTAAAACTTTTAGCCTACCATGATTGAATTAGTAGCTGTTGACTCTCTCTTCAGGGATCTCTCTCTCTCTATTCTTATATCTTGGACTACTAGTTGTTGGAGAAAACAGAAAAAGCTCTAGTTTTACATTTTCAAAGAATGTTTCTCTTACTAATGTTATATAACTTTGCTACTATAAATGATTCCTTTTTGTGCATGGCTATTGTATGTAATCATTACTGAAAATGCTATTCGCACTCTTATCAAGTTAATAGCATTAGAGTTGTTCTAGGGCTGTAATTTCCTCCATTCCTGAGAATATTTAACTACCTGGCTTTTAGATATTTTCGAACACTACGAAACTAACAACTGATGCATTGTCCAATACTTTTGGGTGGAAAAAGTTGTTATGTTACAATATCACCCAAACTGAAATTGTTTCCAAGTATTGTGGTAAAAGTTATGGTTATGCATCATAACAGTAGCATTGTGTTATGAATGTTTGCTACAATTTATCAGAAGTCTGTAATTAATTTACAGTTAGGATTTGTGTATTGAGATATCGACTGTAAAGTTTAGGTATAAAACCTTGGATGGCTGAGTTGACGGTGGGGTGGGGAGAGGGGTTTGAGTAAGAGAGGAAACACAAGGGTAGTTAAGTAATTTTGTTTTGGAATTGGAGGGTAGTTAGGTATTTTTACTACTTTGGTTATCTCCATTAAGAGACGAACCCTGACAAGGTTGTATTTGTAATTTTTCAAATTATGAGGGAATTTGTATTTGTTAGATTACTTAGGGGTGCATTCGTAATAATAATAATAATATTAAAGTGTGAATAAAAGTAATATAGGAGATGGATAGTGCTTGAGATAGGAGAAGACAAAAGGAGGGAAAAACCGGAGGGGAGAATGAGAAGAACCGGGTGAGGTCACAAATGGAGTTGGTGAAAATAAAAAAATAGGGAAAAAGAGAGAAAGGTGACATGACTCTGAGAGAGATAGCTGTCAACTTTTGCATTGTTGATCCACCTACTATAATTTTCCTCCAAAAGGCCTATTTATAGGCTTTATAAAACCTCAAAAACATGAAAAAGTCTTTCTACTTTAGAACAGATTCCAAGTTTTGAGCCCCATTGCATGCCAAAAAAAATATAAACTGTGTAACAAAGAAACATATAAGCCCAAAGTTCCATACTAAAACCCGTAAACTTGTCTATTAAACTGAAAATACAAGAACATAAAAAAACTATTACCAATTAAAGTATCTGCCTGACCACCCACTAAGAATTTTGCTTCTAGAAATTTAAAAAATAAAAATAAATAATTGAAGTAGCTGCTTCTAGGCCCATGTCATATAAGCCTTGAATATTGATATGGAGTCCACCATGATTAGAGGCATATGATTACAGTGCTTGCCTGTCCAAATTAGGGAAGTCCTTTTGCATTCTTTGTGTATTTATGTAGTGTTTGGTTCAGTAGAATAAAATAAAATGAAATGAATCATTCCTTAGTATCCTTATAAAATGAATATTCTCTTACAATGGCGAATGATGATTTTATTTGTAATACATTTTCCATCATTTTTTTTATTAAACCACCACCCACCACCTCCACTACCATCCACTACCACCACTCACTTACCTCACATCTCTCCTATATAATAGCTTGTAACATACAAATCAATACACAGCAATCTTGTAATCAATACACATCAATAAATAATATATCTTTATTTCTACACTTAGTATCCTTATAAAATGAATATTCTCTTACAATGGCGAATGATGATTTTATTTGTAATACATTTTCCATCATTTTTTTTATTAAACCAAACATGGGTGGGAATGGATATTATGTTGGAATGATTATTCCATTCTACTTCATTCCAATGAACCAAACAGAGCATTAGTGGAAATTATTGGCTAGGTGCATCTCTAATTTGTAGATAATTTTTCTGTTATGGGCAGTGTGAAGCAATTAAAATTCTGTGTATTGGTGATGTGTCTGGGTTACTGAACATTGATTTTGTCCTGTGAACTTATCAGCCTAAATTTTCTTTTGTTGTTTTCTGTGGCAAATATATTTATTTTTACTTTTTTTTTTTCTCTCCCCATTTGAAGTCCAATGCTTTTTACAACCTGCAGGGTCCTTGGTAGCTGAAAATTTGGAGGAAATGCCTAGAATGGATGCAAAATTTGCAGAAGGTCTGGTTCAGAAGTGGCAGAACATTAAATCCCAGGCTCTTGGACCTGATCATTGCCTCGGAAAATTGTCTGAGGTGAGAACATTTCTTCATCTATATGGTTATAATTTGGGTGGTGATTTGTTAGTGGTACATGTATAATTTATATTTTAGTTGGATTTGCTGGGATGAGTTTACCTTCAGATATTAGATCTCCTAGAACACCCACACTAGGTGCAACCATATATATTCAAAATTGAAAGAAAAGAAATAGGAAAAAATATTTCAGATAAGTTCTGTTAAAGTTGAAATCTTACTGAACATCTAGCTGTTCATACAGTTTGGCATTTTATTTTTTATAATGTTGACATTTTCAACACCCAAGCGAACCAATCTTGGTCTGGTTAGGTCTTTTCAACTAAAGCCCAACCCTATGACTAAAACTCAGCCAAAGCTTGACAATCAATCTGATTAGGATCATGTCGGATTCACTGAAATTTCAGCCCTGATTCATGCATAAATTGCAGTTATTGATATATATATATATATATATATATTTTGTGTGATTGAAATACCATTTTATTTAGTTGACATGCTTACAACATCATGAGAATAAATATTCGTCTTCCCGAAGTTGTATTGACAATTAAATTTTTTTTATAATGCCAGGTCTTGGATGGTAATATGCTAAACGTTTGGAAAGACCGTGCTGCAGAAATTGCTCAACATGGTTGGTTCTGGGACTACTCTCTGTTGAATTTGACAATCGACAGTGTGACTGTGTCAGTTGATGGGCGGCGTGCCATTGTGGAAGCAACTCTTGAAGAGTCAGCATGCCTAACTGATGTGGGCCATCCAGAGCACAATGATTCATACAGTACAACACGACGAGGTATGAGATGTCATGTACACCTTCAGGATGGAAGATTACAGAAGGAGCTGTCCTCAAATCATGATTGGGAATTTAGGATACTGCAAAAGCTTTCATGTAAATATTAGCTTTTGTTTCCTCGAGTCTTATTTACGTTTTGTAGCTCAATTATTGGTTACTTTGTTGAACTAGTAAGGTTTTTCTGATTATATGTAAATGTGTGTTGTTGCAGCATCTTGCAAGGCTGCCAAACAATGTGTTGTGACTTGTGTATTGTTGCAGCTTCTTGATTGTGCAAATCACAGTGCCGGGATTATTGAGTGCACAACTTGTAAAGCATTTTGTTTTCATTTTTTTCCCCCGGAGAAGCAAAATTTTTTTGTTTCTTTGATCCTTTTTGGTAGTCTGAGCCGGCGCTTCTATTTATGCCACAAAACTCTCTCCTTACACTCATTTTAATTTTTTTTATTATAGTTTTATCAAATTACCAAATAGACACCAACTCCAAAATTTTAGAACCCTAATTTCTATAAACGCACCCATCTCTTCAAAAAACTATTCAATGTTTATGGAGCGTCACGTGTTCATACTTATTCACTAATTACCATATGTCATGGCATCTCATGTTCCTTAGTTACCCGACATAAAATAATGGACCTTACTTTATATTCCAAGAGCACCCAATAACCGCTTCATCTCTTCCCACTACCTCGGAGTGTTGGCACTGGTGTCATCACCACCTGCCCTCCTCGCTGCACACCTCTCACTCCACTCCCCATCTCTGCAGCCTCTCTCCACCACCCTTAAACCCACTTCCCCCTTCTTGGCCACTCACCCCGACTCCTTCACATTGCCTGCCCACCCGCTCAATGATCTCCTCCTTTTTCATGCACCACCTATAACCCACTCTTCCTCCTTTCCGTCACCTTCCACCTTGTATCCTCTTCACTCACCTTGCATCCTCTTCCTTGTATGACACTTGCCACCCTCTCCACTTTCCTCCCGACAATTCCCACCTGCTCCTCTGTCTCACCTTCCCCACCCCATCCCTGCCCTGTAGCCCCCTTCCTACAACCCTCTTCCCTACCATTGAAACCTTAGCCCCATCGCAGCCCACTTTCCCCAACTCCTCCTCCCCTTTGAGCTACCTTCAACTTCTCCCCTCCTTTTGCTGAAGCCCCCAAACCCTCCCTATCACCCCTGAACACCACTTCAGCCCCTCTTCCCTTACTTTGTGCACCACTCCAACCCCTTTCCCCCTCACCTGCACACCACCACAGAACCATTCCCTCCTCTCCTGTTTCAACCAACCCAGCCCCATCTTGCCCATGTTGCCACTCTTGCTGTAGAAAGGAAGACGAAGAGAGAACAAAAGAACAATGTGGGTGTAAAGAGGTGTGAGAGAAAGTTTGGGATGATAAAATTATTTTTTTGAATTTTTCAAATGGTTGTAGCAGGTAAAGGGGTGTTATAATGAGCAAAGTTTTCAAAGACTTTATTGAAGCTTGTCTCATCTCGAGGCTAAGGTAAAATACATCAAGACTTTAATTTTTAGGCTATACTCTCCAAAGGCTTGCACATCACAATTTGATGAAAATTTCTTGGGTGCAGATAGGGTACCATGTGGCATGCCACGTGGTGCCTTCAACCAATCACAAATACCATGGCCTCCCATGTTGTCTCCTCATCACTCAACACATAAATGTAGCCCCCACTCTCTCAATCAATGGCAGAAGAGAAAGGTACCACATAGCATTTACCCTATCTGCACCCAAAATATTTCTCCAATTTGAGGCGTGCGCTTTATATATCTTTTGCGCATAAGCATATGAGGAGTATGCATACGAAGAGGTGCCTTAAACTTAGTCTAGTAGATAGTTTAAACATGAAAAAGTAAAAAATTAAAAAGAATCGCTTTTGTAACTATATTCTATAGAAAAAGTTAAGTAAATGACCAATGAACAATAAATATAAAGTTAATGTTCAAGTGAGAAACTCAATCATTAAAGCTCAGAATGTCAATTTCACTTTCAATGAAGGCAAGCTTCATTCTTTGTAGTGAAATATTCGATGTCTTAAAGAGAAAAGCATTTACACATTTATATGTATTTTTTCACTATTTTAAAATACTTATTGTAATTACTAAATATTAAAATTTAAACTTCGGAATGTTTACGCTTTGACGCTTTATGGCTTACACCTTACCTCATGAGGAGTAAAACGTCTCGAATTACGCATTTGCCTTTAAAAATTTTGGTAATGAGGTAGATTTGTGGTATAAATAGAATCACCCATCCTTTGACCTCAGGTGACTAAGTATGATGGTTGATAATAGATCGACTAGTTATTTAAAATTGAAAAAATTATAAATCAGTGTACCTATCAAAAATATTTACAGATTTATAGAAAAGTTTATGATTTTAATTATTAATATTTATAAAGTTTATCATTGATTTGTAATTATTTTTTGAAAGTCTCACTGATTTGATATTTCACCTTCAAAATTCCTTGTAAGCAGTTTACTTTCAATAGCAACATGTTCGATGCTAATTCCCTCCAAGTCTGAGCACTGAGAGGTGAGTGATTCTAATAGAAGGAGCCGCAAACAGTCGAGAAATTGTACTGCAAGAGGCTGAAGTTTTATTATATAATTTTGCTAGATAAGATAATTAGAAAAATAATGTATGAAACTGGTTCAGTTTTGCTCAAATGCGATCCGGGCGTCATGATTTCAAATTATGGAAACACTCTCCTGACACAGTATATATATAACAAATCTTGAAGAGTTACTTGGGTTTTCTCAACTTAAAAGAGCAGAGCAATCTAACACATTGATTTACTCTGCTTACCATGATATACATCACGATAAAAAAATAAGTTCAAATTAAATTTTAAGTACTTTCAGAACATTGACTAGTGGAAATCAAATTTATATCCACATATAATTTTTTTTTTTTTCTAATTTTGTTTATTTACTAATATTTTTGTAGGATTGCCAATGCTTCAGCAAGGTGTACTTCATGCCTCCTCCAACAAAGTTTACACTACAGATGACATGCTGTGTTTCAAGCGGAAGGGTGTACCATTGTTTATGAGTCGAGGTGAGAAGGTCAATCCAAACATTTCCTTGGGGGTTTGACCTGACTCCGCAAATCCAACCAATTTTGCGACAAGTGCAGCACTTTCCTTGATATGGTTCATGTCATTCATGTCAGTCCATAATCGACGCGACAATTGTAACCTCCTCTGCTTTGTGTTCAATCCGATGCCCCACTTCTGATAGAGGACCTCTCTCTCCTTGGTTGAGAACTTCTTAAGCATTTGTTTGCTGAGCATTTGTCTCTCGCGGTTGAGAGCCCTCACACTGTAAAAAGATACAGATGCATTATTGCTAGAACAACTGCAAACTAAAAGTTATGAATAATCTCTGTTCAAAACAAAATAAAAAATGGAGTTCATGTTATATACATATATATATATATATATTAATTCCTTTGGTGAAATAATTTTTTTCCCTCTTGAAGTGTCTTTAAAGGGAATTCCAAATTTAGTACTGGAAAGCATATCTCAGATTGTATCTAAATTGTCTTAATTTTATGCCTTGGCCTGTTACTGTAATACTTTATCACACTGTTATCTCGAAGATCACATGAGTGAATTTGACTTGGATGTCGTTTGCATAGCATTTTCAAAGTAGTTTTCATTCGCTTTAATGCTGTGTTTGGTTGAGGGATTTGGGGAGAGATTTGGAAAGGACAAGGGAAAAGGTGTGTGAAACTAGGTGAAATGTAGGTATATTTTATTCACATTTCACCAAATTTTTTTCTTTTCCTTTCCAAATCCTTCTTCAAATCCTCCAACCAAACACAGCGTACGGAGCCAAAATACAAGCAAAATTCAAAGCCACTTTCGTTTCCAAAAGCAAAAAAAAAAAAAAAAAAAAATTCATCATTCTTTCTTTTCCATGTGTACACGTGTGTGCAACTCACGAGGTACATTAATGAGTCAACATTCATAGGTTATTGTAGCCCCTGCACATTCTCTTATTTTGTTTTTATTTTCAATATTGGATTTTCATACGCTATGCAAAATAGTGATTTTGCTTGTAAAATATCAAATTCTCTGAAACAATTAGACGGCCATGTGTAACTTTTCTGACAAGAATGGCAGAAAGACAGAAAGATAAAGAAAGAGTACCTTAGGGCATGTGTGATAATCTGACCATCTATCACAACCCTTGATCCTTGAGATAGTGTAGACTTAATAAAGGACAATCGTCTGAGCTCAACCTCCATGTAAACAGAATCTGATGGATCTCCATTAAAGAGCAAGAAAAAATGGGTTCTGTGGGCCAATGGCGTATTGCATGTATCCCAAAGTTCAATAATCTTTCTCTGCTGTGTCTCAAATTCTATGGGCCAATTCGAAGGGGACTTTGGAGAGCCCTGTACAAATTCCAAACCAGTATCCCTTCCAGATTTTCCGGACTCATCAGTCTTTGGCTTAGCTTCTTTGACCTATAATTAACAACCATAACCTGATCAATAAAAGATATTGATTGATAGGCAAGCTTCCTAGAACACCTAAGCTACCTAAGGTTTGTTAGATCACCGATCGTCCCAAAAGATGAAGTTGTTAGAAAATGGACCCAAGAATATATATCAGGCTCTAACGTGCAAGATGTGCAAGCATTCATACAGAGAAGAAAGAATGCAAATGACATAAGCCAAATGCCAATGGAGGGACTTGAAGCCAACACCTCTCCCAACCTGGGATCACCAAAAGCTTAAGCTATTAGGAAATAAGCTCGACAATATATATCAAGCTATTCAATAGTTCCCACTTCCCAAGGGAAAGATCGTAACCTAGGAATTTTGTTCTATTTTTAAGGAAAACTCTTGTGTTTCAATCCATTCTGATTACACACATTAGGGTTTTAACGGCAAATTTAAATGAGGATCCACATTCTCCTAGTTCTAAAGAATTTTCTTGTTATGGTTGGAATAGTCTCTTCCAGCATTTTCAGCTTCGTATGTTACACGCATTCACTCAACAATTTTGCGTTAAATAAATTACACAGTCAGAAAACATTTTTACTGAAAATATGCATCACAATGCTAAGATTTGTATAATATCATTTGAGATAAAGCCCTATTCTCAAGCATTTAAAAAACTTGAGGCTGTAAACTCACATGGAAATAGAGAAGTATAGGAGATATTTTCATAATAGTTGTGCTTAAGACTGTTTATGACTGTATACATTATATGATTATGCATGCATATAAATTATTATACAGAATTTGGTTAAATACTTGGTTGTATTATTGTAAGCATGACACTCTCAACTCAACTCAAAAAAGCCTTAATTCTGAGTACAAGCATAAGAGTAGTGACATGGAATAGCATTTTCCATATCAAAATGCTTATTCTAGTTTCTTCATCTGTGTTAGCTGTAATCATTTATAATTTATAAAACGTAAAACCACACCAAGCAAGTGAAAGCTATAACTGCCAACTGACAAAATTACTTGCACAAGAACCAAGATAAGCTCAGGACAAACAAAGAAAGAATGGCAGGAGAGAGAGAGAGAGAGAGAGAGAGAACTGCATGCTCACCAAATCATCAGCAAATTTCTGTTCATGTTCTGATGTTTCTACTTCATTGAGTTCTGTGGCACAATTGCCGATGCGAGAAACATCACTTTCACCTGAAATCTTGATGTTCTGCTCCTCTCTGTCCGAGGAAGCACCGTGAGCAGAAATTGGGGAGTCTGTTGCAATGTCAGATACATACTTCAATCCAGAAAGCTTCAGTTGATGACTACTTTCTGGTCTTCCAGAGAAATTTTTCTCAACACCGTTTGGTGGTGTGTTGTTATTGTTCTCTTCTTTCTCAAACCATCGAGACGATGTGAGAACAGCTCTGCAGCTTCTGCTTCTATATAACTTCATGCTTCTAGAGCTGGAAGTACCCGCTTCAGATGAACTTGGAGATTGTTCCAAAAGGTAAGGATTGGAAAGATATTCAATTATTTTCTGCATTTCCTGAATCTTTTGCTTCAAAGCTTCACAAGTAAGATCTGTACGAGTCTGATTCAAATCCCCATTTCCATTTTGCAGTGATAATATTGCATCAGCTTTTAAGTTCCTGTCTATGCTCGACGCCTCCATTTCAATACACCGAACTTCCTTGCAGTGATCTTCAGATTTTTTATCAGTTTTTTGATCAGTCGTTTCCCAACTCTGTGATGGGTCAGATCCAAACTGTTTGTCAATTTCCCGTCGTGGAGCGGTGCCTTCAGACAGAAAGTGGTTTTTTGATTGGTCAGGGGTCTGAAAATGGTTCTTGTTGGAATTAAGGCCATCTCGTATGTCAGAAAGACGAGATGTGTAGGATGTAACATCTAAACAAAGAGGATCTACTGGCTCTGATGATTCTGATGCTGAATATTCATCTGCCCAAGCATTTTGCATATATCGTTCCGAAAGTTGATCACATTCAACCTTTAAAGAGGGAACAGGACAAGAATTTAGACTAATGAACATGCATTTTAAATTAGACTTTGCCATTAGTTATTGATTAAAATTATAAGCGCCATACCGATGGGCTTGAAGGTATATATTCACCAACTGATTGTAACAAATCCTCAACACGGGATTGAGCGTGATCCCGTTGGTTTTTTAGCTCTTTGATCTCTTTATCCATCTGCACATTGAAAAGGCAAGTAAAAAAAAACTACACAACCAAAAAGCAAAAATGATTTGACCATTGAAATTTGGTGCTAAATAAATGACAAATCCTAGAATAAATATGAAAAGTTTACAGTAGGCGTAGAGTTGAAAAAAACCATAGTAAAAAAATTGCACTCTAAAATGAAACAGTTCACATTTCTTAGCAACATGGCCGACATCAAATGCAAAGTCCATGAGATTAACCACATCCAGAATAGTGATCATTAGGTACGTCTTTTGATGAAATTATAACAAATATTGCTTAGCTGTATCATGGGTTTTATTTTTGAGGTCTGGTCATTCAACCATAATTTAAGAATGCAATGCATTAAAGTATGTGTTCATTCAACAAGATTGCTACATTTTTAAGCTAGTGAAGGACTTTCAAAGAGAACAATAATCATCACTACATCTAAAGGTCATATTTGATAAAATGCTTAAAGAGGAGAAGAAAAAAGAAAAAGGCATAGCACATCTTAAAAATTCCACTCAAATTCTCTACTAACCATTTTGCATGCTTGTGTCTATTGGAAAGGTCATATAGATATCAGTTTCATTACCTTTTCGATGAGAAGTTCCTTTTCTTTCAGTAATGCTGCAGAATTGGGCTTGTCAGACGCTGAGCCTAAACTCTTCAACTCGCTCTCCATTCTGGCCAGCTCTCTCTGCAGACGCTTTACTAATGCCTTATCTGACACCACTAAATTGACCTGTGCATTAGTACTTACCTGCTTGGCACAACTGGCGAATAAAAGGGTATTTCTTGATTGCTCAACAAAACTGCGCGCTGGGCTCATAGTGCAAATGATGGCAGTTCTTGCATTGCCTCCTAAGGAATTCTGAAGTATGCGTGTCAGCTTGGAGTCTCTATAAGGTATGTGTCCATTTCGTCCTTTGCTGTGCCCAATCGTGGCAATAAATTGAAAAGTGACAACAAATTTAGCTATTTCAAACTAGTAGAACATTGAATGATCACACGATTTAAATATTAAAAAAAGAAATATTTTAACTATGCCAGACCCTAATAGAGAAAAAAAAAAAAAAATCTTGTCAGCTTAGCAGCAGACCTAAAACTCATAGATCACATTGAATAAATAAGTCATAGTACGCAGGGTTTGTGAACTAACTGTTATAATTGATGTATTATTGATTGTTATATGTTGTATATTACAAATGGTGAGGGGCTCCTTATATAGGAGATGTAGTGAACCCTAAAAAAAAAAAAAAAAAAAAAATCTTGTCAGCTTAGCAGCAGACCTAAAACTCATAGATCACATTGAATAAATAAGTCATAGTACGCAGGATTTGTGAACTAACCACTTTACCATTCACACAAGTAGGACAAGGACATACTGGATAACATTAGGACAGAAGTTAAGTTGCTAATAGATGTAAATTCCCTATCCCTAGCTCAGTTTTCTCAGGTTTTGCACCATCACATCATTTATGCATTTTCTACTACAATAACCAAGTACAAGCCCAGTTACAATAATGTGATAAATATGAAAGGGTTCTTAGATAACAATCTTTAAAGAAAAACATCTGAAAGTCCAGGATGAGGAATACATCCAAACTAGGAGAATGTAGCAGTTTCAAAAAGCCTATCAGCTATCAGACAAGTTTTTCACTCAATTTTGTTTACCCGAGTTGGAATTCTAAAAGCCATCTCCATGAAAAGAAACACAATTGGAAGTATTTGATGATGACTAAATTTTTTGTTTTTTGTCCAAGGTGACAAGTCAAACAACCGAAGGTAGGCCTCCCCCTCACCATGCTCCCAAATGCAATGAAAGTGGACTTCGTGGGCATGTGTGTCTGTTGTTTGTTGTTGGGGTTCTACACTAACCGTTGTCCTCATATTACCTCTGGCATTTTGCACATTACACGTGGATTCCAAAAATTGTGATGATATCGGTCTCCAACAATAAAAAAAATTGATTTGGTAAGTAAAGTTTCAGCATTCTTTTCAATGACAACTTCAATCTTCCCACCTCAAAAGTTCAACCCTACAAGTAGAATATCAATTAGAGTCCTTTTCTTTGTTAAAATGAAGAGGAGGGATGACATTTATACAAGGTCAGAATTATAGTTAGAACCCGACTTTGCAAGTAATGCAATGCAAAAATGAGGAATGAATGAAGTCCATCTAAGAGATGAAACTTAATTATTTATTGCTAGCTTCATTGTATTTTAGTTGCTTGAGTTATGCATACCAAAATAGTTTTACCTTAAGACTGATTCAGCTTGAGCGTAAGCAGATTTTATACAATTTAGAATGTTCGAAAGCTTCAACACATACACTGATACTTTTAAGTACCAAGCAATATAGTTAATGATACAACTTAAGGCTTATTTTTGACATTTGACATTAATATAAGCCACTCTTGAGGCCAGGTGGCGAAAAGAACATCAAAATTATGTTCTCTTTTGTTACTATGAATGCATGACAGAAGGGTTCTAGAGATAATATCTAATGTGATAATTTTAATTCTGGTAAAGATTTCTGACAATTAAAATGCCAGACCAAAAGAGATATGAAAGAGAAACTAACCTTAATTTGCGAATAACAGTTCCAAGGGTTAGCAAACTGCGGTTAATGTGGCAACCCTCTTTCAGTCTTGTACCAGCTGATAATGTCTGAGTAGCACGCTCACTTCCCGCAAGATCAACGAAATTCTGGACAAAGAACCAACTTACATTTTACATTTCTCACTAAACGTCTTATAAAAACAAGAATTATTCGAAAAAAGCTCCTTGCGCAAATAATCTTTACTGGCCACTAATCTCAGTAAAAATAACTCTCCATACCACAGAGGCTGAAAGAGTGCTCGAGCTTTCACTACCTAAGAATTCATGACCACAACTTTCAACTGTCTGCAAGAATCAATTATTATGTAAAGTCAATGAAGAGGTTAAACACTTCAAATTTGTATTAGGCAATAACTACTTCCGGAAATGACAGCATACCAGTCGGAGAATTTGATGAGATCTGGAACTCGTTTCATTCAGAGAGGTCTCCCCTATTTGTCTTTGAGCTGCATGAACGCAATGCACTGAATAGACTTACAATATCATCCAAGAAAACAGGACTACTATGACCAATTGACGATACTTACCTTCACAAAAAGAGAGGAGCTCCTTTAGATGGTTCCAGTCCGTCAAAATCTCCTCTGTAAGTTTCTCGACAATGGTTCCTCTCTGCAGAAGAGAGAAGAGACCAGCTAAAGATGTTTGTGAAAATTCAGTTTAATGTCATTTGTATTTACATCAAGTACAATATTCACCTCTGGATCATCAAGTAGCCTAAGTGGGCCACTATCTGGGCTTAGGAGGTCTTTGACAGCTTCATTGTAAATCTCAATTGCAGAGAATTTCAATACAAATTCTCTATCATTATGCTAGATGTTGAAAAAAATACAGCAACATTGAGTAGGAATTCGTACAAGTGTAATTGATTTCAGAAAACAATATTGGGAAAAGAATGGCATTTTTAAAGTACCATATGTATGTAGTCAAATAAATCAGCTACAGCATGTTCAGTAATGCCAGACATTGTGTATGTCTTTCCACTGCTTGTCTGCCCATATGCAAAAATAGTTGCTGCAAAAACATTTTAATGGTGAAAATTTTCACTACTTGAAGTAACAAAATTTCAGCAAAAAAAGGAAACCATGGATGAGAAGAATGCTCACAATTAATGCCATTGACAGCAGAAAGAGCAACTTCTTTGGCTCCTTCTGCGTACACCTGCTTTGTGGAGGAATCACACCCAAATACTCTGTCTGTTCCCAAAACGTTGACCAAAGCAAAAGATCAAAGAAGAGGAAATTTGATAGTAAGAGATTCAACAAATGGTGAAATAAAATTCATTGAAATTATGGAGTCCCTAAATTTGAGCCAACTTGCTTAGATACTATGAAGCACGGGTACTCTGAAATATTGCCGTACTTGTACCGAGTACTTATCGGGTACTGGTGCGCATACTGAGTACTTGAAATTTGTATAGGGTATATTTTATACATTTTTTGGCAGTTGGGTACTCCGTGGATATGTGCTGGGTACATCGGGAGTACACCAAGCTATGGGACATTGGTGGAGATACGTTTAATTTATCAGAGAGTTCTGATTTATATGAAATTACAAATCCTTTATTTGATGTGCTAGAGATGAAATATGTATTATTCACTGATGAAGTTGATGGAAGTGAAAATTGAAATTTCAAGTTTCCAAATTTTACTTAACTTGCTTTTGGAATGAAACTTTGTTTTGTAATTTCTCCTATTTAATGACATTAAAATAGCTTATGAACTTTGCTTTGGTATTGGTATTGGTATTGTTCAACTATGATTTCTCTTTTGGTTATGTAATTTCTCCTTTTAATTTTGGTATTGAACTTTGATTTGTAGGTTGAATCTCAAATTATAAATTATAAAAAAAAAAAAAGTTATTGACCCCAGTCGTACCCGTATCTTATTTTTTTTAGATCTTGCCGTATCGTCAAAACCTGTAACATTCCTGTACTAGCATCTGTGTTTGCACCCGTACTTCATAGCTTAGATATAAGAACAACATTTATCTACTGAAAAAATTCACAGGAGGTTGTACCATAGACTTTGTTCAAACCTTAGCTTGATTTGCCCTATTTTAGACCCAAATGCAAAAAAAAAATAAAAAATAAAAAAACAAAAACTTTGACACCCAAATGCGACACAAGCACCCTCTTGGTTTGCAGGCTCATGAAAACTGTTATCCATACCAATTTCCTTGTATGATACCAAGGGAAGGTATATTCTAAAACAAATTTATTTTAAAAACAAAAACAAAAAAATTATTTGAAAAAAAGAAAAAGCAATTGTCTACCCGTTAAGAAAAATTATCCCAAGATCTAAATCAAATCCAGGTATGCTTACATGATCAAAACATTATGTACTGTGACACTATGAACCCAAACCATGATCGTCTATACAGTCTCCCTACTTCTCAAACCATGAATGAATCTATGTATATCATAAAACAAAAGAAAACAAAATTATTCTAAATGCAGGGCTAAGTATTTGCTTACCAAATGTATATGCAGTTGGAAACATTGACCGTTCTGATACGCTATTCTTGTATATAATAGTGGTGTTGTTAATACATTCCCAATCTGAAACATCATTCTTTTCAATTTCTCTTTCATTCAATGGCCTCAACCTGACTGAGACAAGTATCTTCTCTTCATGGGCATTTGATTGTACATCCCATTGTGATAGCTCATCCCCACCAAGTGACCCCATTTCTGACCCCCTTTTTTCCCGCCAAATCTAATATTCTTGAACTACTAAACTAACAAACTGGGAAATTAAAAATCTTCACACTCGCCCTCTCACACTTCTCTCGCACAAGCATGAGAGGGTTCATACGTCAAAATTTAAAGGTCCTTTACGGTCTCCAAATACCAAGGATAAACACGATCCCGTTGAAATCCCTTTTATCTGTGACAAAGATTAATCATGGCAACATGTTACATTTTACTCTTAGATTATTTATGTTGAATGGACAATATTTTGGAGGAGTTTTTACCTTTGGAGTTCTCACTCGTTTTCACAAAACCTTGGCATTATTTTTGAAACTCAATCCTCGATAGTGATACATGTTCTTTTCAGCTCTGGAATGAGTTCGCATGGACCTTTAAATCTGTAGTAAAACAACAGAACCCCAATGAAGCTTTAATGTCTGTCATATCAAAATATCAAAGAATCCTTCTTTACAAATTCCTTTACACATACATTTGCATACTTATATGACAAATTAAAAATACAAACATATGTATACAATGAATGCAGTTTTCAAGTCTACCATGATGTTTTATGTCTACACAATTGTATACCTATACGATGTCTAATAGAAAATTTATGATGTACATATTCACAATCTCGAATGCTATGTTTCGCTTATTGGACTAAGCTGGAATAGAATGATCATTCCATCAAAATGTTCATTTTTGTGTTTGATTCACTAAAACAAATTATAAAAAAATACATTGCAAATGTAATCATCATTTATAATTAACATTGGTCATTCCATAAGAAGACTAAGAAATGACCATTTCATTCTAATCCATATTCATTCCAGTGAACCAAACACTACCTAAGATATTAAATCTAGAAACTTTTCAAATTTGAATGCATTACAACACCTCTTTCATTTCCTATACATGCATTGAACTTCAAATCATGCAAACGAACAAGAAATTTGACCCCAAATTAAAAACTATTCAGACCTAAACCCTAATTTTCAAAATTGGCAGCTTAAATTTGCATAATCTTTCTTATTCAACACACCAGTTTCAGAAAAAGTGCCCAAACTACAAGTATGTGCAAAGAATTGTCAATCAATTTCTCTTACCTCATCTACATTTAATCTGAGAACCCAAAAAAATGCTCCAATTGCACACAATGCAAACTGTTTTGGATAAGAATTTCAGGGAGAGATTGAAGTTCAAAGGTTCGATTGGGTGAGAAATGACTAAAGAAAGAGTGGATAGGATTAGAGACGGAAAATTCGGAGAGTTTGAGGGTTTGCAGAGAAAATCGGCGACAATTTCGTAAAATATGCAGAGGATTTGAAAAGATAAGGAAGGCTGAAATTGAAATCATTCTCTCTCTCTCTCTCTCTTCAGGGGTTAGTTTGAAATAAAAGCGCCACAGCCAACGACCAAACCGGTAATAACTAATAACGGAATGAAGCCCCCCAAAAAAAAAATTTATTTATTTATTTTAAAACTAACATGCTCGAAGTTTAAGAAAAGAATAATGTTTTAGAGTACTAAATTGGGAGCTCTAGAGCAATCACTAATGATGTGGCACAGTGGCCCCCATGAAAGTGATGTGATGTTTTGGCTTGAGTTTGTTTGTTTGTTTTTTTTTTTTAAGCTCATTAGAATTATTAGTGGTCTAAAAATTAGTGGGATGAATCACCACTCAAATCTTTTACAATAAAATGTAAATTTTATGATTGAATAATATTATATTTATATACTACTGGTATTAGTTCTATTTTTTTTTAAAAGTTTTACTAATGCTTTATTTGTTTGAGCGAAAAATATTTTTTGAAAACTATATATATATATTTTATATTTTTTGGTATTTGGTACAATAGAAAAAGAAAATCAACGAAAAATATTTCTAATGGTTAATGAAAAATAGGCATATGTGGATAGAAAATATTTTTCGCTTTAACAAATTATATAATTTGCGAGACAAGATTTAAAGGTCTCAGTTGATGATTATTATATATTTTTGGTAAATTAAAATGACATCTTCTGAATAATAATAAAAAATTATGACCAATCTCATAGTTTTGACAAAAGTACATAATTTTTTCCTACAATAATTGTAACTTAATGGTCTTAATGATTGATGAAATTACTAATATTTCTCTAAGATATTTTGTATTTAAATATGCATTGATGTCAAATGATACAATTACCGTTCAACTTATACAATAAATAATTTACTCGTGTGTATTATTCAAATATATAATATAAGTAAAATAGTCATTTTAGTCTAAAAATTTGTTTCACTAATGGACGAAAATGTTTTAAAATTTATATTTCAAGAGATTGCACTATATTTATGCTAAAAATATAGGCTCATTATAATTTATTCATTACAGCAGGGATTTCAGTATAATTTATCTTCTTTTTTTTTTTTTGCAAAACATGATGATTAATTTACACATGAAACACCCACTCCAAAGATTCCAAAGACTTTCTCCTGTATCTCATGATAAGTTGGTCACAACCACGGGATTCCTTCTGGCCAAAAAAAAAAAAAAAAAAAAAAAAAGCCACTGGATTCCAAAAAATAAATAAATAAATAAAAAGTTGACGGTAGAATGTCAACAACATCTGGCAAGTTTCTAAAGACTTTATCTGTCTAGTTCATGCCCTTTTTCAAATTGAATTGAGTTGTATTCAATAATTTTTAAACAAAAGATCATTAGCATAAATAAATAAAAAAGTAAATTATAGACTTCAAATAAAAAAGTAAACAAAAGATCACTGTTGAATGTTCCTGTTTGTGAGACGTCCTTCCATGATAGTTAGACTTTGATTAATTCGTAGTAGCTTGAATTCGGCAAGGACCGAATCCCTGAATCCTATTTAATTAGAAGATCAACAATGCTAGGTAACTCAAAAATTCATGGCTTGAATGGCTCAAAACACTCAAAACGATGTCATTTTGAGTGTAAAACGACGTCATTTTGAGCCATTCGAGCCACACCAATTCAGACCATCAAACATTTTTCTTGGAAGATACGCATCACACCCCACTCCACCTCATTAAGACCAATCATCTTCTAATTTTACATGTTACAAACTAATCCCAAAAGTTTAAAAAAATTCAAAAAACTTAGAAAAGGCAAGTGTAGATTGTCAATGAAGTTTTTGTAAGAATTAATATTAAATTATATCTGAATTTCCGCAATTGAAACTGATATCAGAGCCCGATTTTTCGGCCTTACAAATAACATTTGCATGAGTATTAAATATAATGAAGAAGTAGAATTGATAACTTAAATAATAATACTTTTTTACAAATAATAATAGAATAAAATAATACCTTAATTAGGTTATTAAAAAAATTAAAGAAAAACTTATAGCTAATCAATTGGAAATAATAAATGAAATTAGACATTTGATACAATATCCAGAAAAACAAGTAACTATTTTTGAAGAATAACAAAAAGAATTAGATCTATATCCCTATCCATATAAAGAAAATAATATGAAGGAACCCTTTGAATTAGTTGCACCTGTAAAACAAAAAGATAATGGATTTAATCAACTATATCCTAAAACAGTTAGAAGAAATGGTTGAAAAGAAAAATGATAATGAAATAAAGTACAAAATAATATTACAAATAGCTGAAGAATTAGATATGGTAGATAAAGAAATAATAAAAGAAATAAATAATGAGATAATATAATTAGAAGAAGATATGTAACGCCCTCAAAAAAATAATGACAACCCATATCATGATATTCAATAAAAAACATAAGCTTGCGAAATATTAACTTTTCATTTATATTCCTTTACCGTACAAAGATGACATATACATGTATATATTCATAAATCTTAAATCCTAAATCTATAACATATGTCATGTATGAGTGAACTGGAAATAAAAGGGAATACAGATAAGTTTATGCCCTAATGACTATATCTTTCCAAGACATTGCTTGGTTACAATAAGGTGGATCAAGTTCAAAACAATTAAAAAGCCTGAGATTTGTACAAAAGATAATTATAATAAAAGAAACAAAAATGGGCCTTCACCTCCATGGTCCCTCCAAGCTAAGTCATTAGTGGAGGCATATCATCAGTACCTAAAAGTATTTTTCCACGTAGGGTGAGCTAAAGCCCAGTACAGATACTCAACACAACGTATGAAGCTTAACAAAGTAATATGGTGAATACAATACATGTCATTGTCCAAAACATTATGCTTTCTCTTTCAAAACAATGCCATGTCTCAGTTACATGTGTATTAATTCAATAAACAAAACTTTTCAAGTTAGAAAATAGGGCAGTAGATACAAAACACTGAGAATCTCTAGGTACATATCTGCCATATAAACACTACCAAAGCCATTTTATCGATACTAACCGGAAGGATCGGCACCTAACTGCGCGGGTTTTTGAAATTTCACCAAAGATACACAGGCCAACAATATAAACCACAACCACACCCCCTAACTAGATTCACCAAGGTATACACATTTTTTTCTCAAAACAATACATTTTTAATGTTTAAATATGAAGCAATGCTCAATGCAAAATGTGTGAGTAACTCGTTTCAATTAACCTAATCCTCATGTAATTTCTACAACAATCAAAGCTATCCTCCACCGATAGTCCAAAACAGATATCTCTACTCAACAGATAATTTCCACAACAAGTATAATCTCATAATTTTAAAATGGGAGTGATAATGTATATCCAAATCCACCCTCATCATCGACAGGTATATTCATTTCATCTGTATAACGATTCTGGTTTAGACTCGACTTAATTACTTGATTTTAAATTCGAGAATCCCTGTACGTAACTGTTGTTCATCTCTTTTCCATCTTAATGCTTGTTGAGTTTGGTTATTAGGAGTTTTAGTTATGTTTGAAACAGATTGGGAGGTTGGTTTTTCAAAGAGTTGTTACCCACATTTTGGCTTATTCGCTCGAGCGATCATTCTTGCACTCGAATGGTTTTTTACAATTCATAAAACTACTGAGAGTTTGATATCTCCGCTCGAGTGGTCTTTCTTGTGCTCGAGCGATCTTTTGTAGGTCTGAACTACTGGGAGGAAGTCATTGTGCGCTCAAGCGGTGGTTTTGGTCGCTCAAGCGGTGTCACTTTTTGTGTCTTTCGCTCGAGCGACCATTCTTGCGCTCGAGTGGTCTGTGCGTATATTAGTCCGAGAGGAAGTCATTTTCAGTCACTTTTTTACCTCTCTCTCTCTCTAAACATTTCAAAACCCTATATCTTCACTCTCTCTCTAGTTTTTGAACTCTAGCTCCAAATACTCTCAATCCGTGGGTTTCCCCACCCTAATCCTTTGGAGTAAAAGATTGAGCACGTCAAGGGCTTCGTTCTAATCAGAGAAGTTGGTGTTTTCGGCTCCATCAAGTTCTACCCATCATTTCTTCTTGTATTCTTCTTTGAAGTAGGGATTTCTTTGACTCTTTTATATGATTTTTAGCTTAGCTATTTGCTCTTTGAAAAGGGTTAATGATTTGGGGATCTTGGGAAAACCTAGGGTTTAGATTTGAAATCAAAAGAAGGGTTTTCCAAATGGATTATTGAAAATGGTTGTAGGAATGAGTTATGGTTGAAATATGTTAAATTTGTGAATATTTCTTCTTGAAATTGATTTTGTAAAATAAAGGGGGTTTTGCCCTAAATTTCAGATATTTGGAATTGTGTAAAGAAATAGAAATGTTGTGGGTTTTTTTGTAAGATTGGAACGATGATTATGTTGATGGTGATGGTGGAGTTGGATATATAATATCACTCCCATTGTGAAATGATGGAATTGTATTTTATGATTGGAAACTATCTTTATATAGAAATATCTATTTTGGGCTATTGGTGGAGGATAGTTTTGATTGTTGTAGACATTGCATGAGGATTAGGTTGAATTAAAACTAATTTTTCATACATTGTGCATTGAGCATCATTTCATATTAAACATTGTAAATGTGTTGATTTTGAGAAAAAAAAAGGGATAAATACTGTGGTGAATCTGGTTAGGGTTTGTGGTTGTGGTTTTATATTGTTGGTCTGTGTGTCCTTGGTGAAAGTCTAGAAACCCGCATGGTTAGGTGTCGATCCTCCCAGTTAGTATCGGTAAAATGGCTTTGGTAGTGATTGTATGCCGATTGGCAGACACGTACCTAGAGATTCTCAGTGTGTTGTATCTACTGCCCTGTTTTCTGATATAAAAGATTATTTTCATGAATTGATTTATAATCTGACATTGCATTGTTTTAAGATAGAAAACGAGGAATATTTGACAAATGGCATGTATGTGCATTCACCTTACAATTTTGCTAAGATTCATATACTGTGTTAGAGTATTTCTACTGGACTGTGGCTCACCCCATGTAGAAAACAACTTTCAGGTGCTGAT